TATCGAAGTACAAAGCGAGATTATCCACCGAATGCTCTAAAAATCCAAAGCTAATGAAGAACAGCAGGAGAACTCGTGGTGGCTGCTTCTTTATGATAAAACTACTCTATTGTTTCGGCATATCCCTAACAAAATGCTNAAATCAAGTATATATAGGTCTAGGGTTTTCTAGGGTTCACTTTAGGGCAAAACGGTCTTTTACGTCAAAACTCCTCCAAAGTCAGTTGGCAACGTTGGTCAAGGAACACGACCGATGTTGGGCTTGAAAGTGCCTCCTTTGTTCTGGCATCGGTCTGGAACAACGGTCCACGAAGCGGCCCGATGTTTGGCTCCATTCTACACTTGCTTCGTTTCTAAAGCAGTTTGACGTGTCTTCAGTAATTCGGGTGTATCTACCTTCTCACAGCTCCAATTGAGATGATTAAAACTCTATTGTGAAGTTAACTCAAAGATCTATTTGATGAACAAGTTTCATCCAATTCCAAGTTGATTTGATCCTTCGTTTATTGCTAAACTTCTGGCATACATGTTGTGTCCAACTTGGTAGAATCTTGTATCTTGTGAATTCTTTGGTCTTGATAATTTATTTGGCTTGTGAAAGTTATTGTAGCTTGGTTTACACATATTTTGGCTCTTTTTGCTCTTTTTTCTTGATTTTCCTGTAAAGACTCTAAAACTACAAATACGAGAAAAGCTACCTTTAGAGGTATAAAACCGTAGATAAATGCATAGAAAATATAGTAAAATAGATAGTAAAACTGGTAAAATATGGGACATATCAGACCTTCCTAGTTAGGTCCTAGCTTTTGGGCGCCACGTTCCTAAGTGTTTTGAAAGGTGCGTCTGAGAACCCACTCCCCTACATGGAATGTTCTGGTTCCTACTCTCTTGGTGTAACTCCTAGCGACCTCTTGCTGGTAGCACCAGTTGCGAATTCTTGCAGCTTCTCTTTTTTCCTCTAGCAAGTCAAGATCAAGGTTCATTAGATCTTCGTTTTCCTTGCATTGAGGGTGCTATGTTCTCACTA